TGACAAAGAAAAGGCTCCGTTTTCCCGTTTTCCTGAGTTTTTCCTCCCAGTCCTTAAGAATTTAAATTCGTAACTAGAAAAGAGCATTTTATTGAATTAGGTTGAATTAGGTTTGAGGTCACTCAAAATCCTGGCTCCCCTCTCTGGGATATCAGTGGCACTGTGACCTCCAGGTCAGAGAATTTTATATAACTCTCTCCTCACCCTACACTGGCTACAACCCCTTCACTGAGATCTCCTTCACAAGGATCTTCCCCTCCCTCACTGGACATCAAAATGCAAATACAAAACCAAAATGCCTAAACTGGAGCATTGCAGAGCATCCTAAGTTACTATTTTGTTAAAACCCCCTCCCTAGTCAGCAAGGGAAGGCAAGAGGGGTTAAGAAACCAGATTTCTGAGCCCCATGATTAAATCAGGATTTCATTTCATAGAATCATTCAGGCTGGAAAAGACCTCTGAGACCATCAAATCCAAACTTTGACTGATCCCCATCTTGTCAACTAGACCAGAGCACTCAGTGCCACGGGCAGGGACACCTTCCACTAGCCCAGGTCGTTCCAAGTCCCGCCCAACCTGGCCTTGGACACTTCCAGGGATCCAGGGGCAGCCACAGCTTCTCTGGGCAACCTGTGCCAGGGCCTCCCCATCCTCACAGGGGAGAATTCCTTCCCAATATCCCACCTAACCCTGCCCTCTGGCAGCAAGAAGCCATTCCCCCTCTTCCTGGAATCCCAGGCCCTTCTCACAAGGACATCAATGTGTTTCCAAAATCATTTTTCGTGCAGAACAGGCTTTTTAAAAAGTTTGTCGATCGTGGATTTTCAGGTGATTTCAAGTTTATGAAAAAAGATATAAAAAGCCTGGCAAACATTCATAAATGGGAATATTGATTTTCTAGGGACAAGAAATACTCAGAGGTGAAAAAACAAAAGTAACTTACTTTCAGTCATGATGTGCCTTTCAATAAGTGCAAGACAAGAGCTGAGGAGCCACACGGTGCTCCCCAACACCCACAGCAGAGCTGAACCACACCACTGCTTGTTTGTTCACTGAAGAAATCTCACTCATTGCCAGGGCCTGGGATCCTGACTGGCATCAGAATTCCGAGGGGAACCTCCCGGCAAAGCACATTCCAGAGGACACATGGGTGTGCATCATTTCACCTCTCAGCCTGACCCACAACTGTGCTGGGGCTGTTTCCAACAGGAATGTGGGTTCACAGCTCCTGCTCCTGCTCAGCCAGACCTCCCCCCACAGAGGGAATCCAGGCCACGAGGCAGCTCGGCCGGGAGTCACAGCTTGGGCACCTGGAGAAGGGCCAGGTGGGAACAGCCAAAGAGTCACCAGAACATCCTGTCCAATGAAAAAATGACAGGGAGGAGGACAGCAAAGCCTGGATTGCTCAGAAATGGCTCCCTAGGCCAGATGAACGCTGAGGAGATGCCTTTAAATCCCCCTTCCAAGGCATTTTCCCCAGCTATCAACATGGAATTTACACAACAGTGATAATGTCACGCTGCAGAAAACAAAATGTCATTTCCTGAGCAATGATGAACTGGTATTTGGAGTCTCCTCTGATACAGAGAAAACGAATGGTAATTTCCCTGGGAGCAGAAGCCCCCGAGCTCCTTCCCCTGCTGCTGCAGAGGGTGGATTGCACTGAGTTACAGCACAGACAGCAAAACATCATTTAACTCTTGCAAATGGATCCGTCCTTCAGGAGCTGCTTCACGGTAACTGAGCAGAGCGTGTCCCATTCACAGGGATCAGGCACTGAGCACGTCTCAATGAACAGCTCCTCTGGATGGAACCTCCCAGCCAGCAAGTTGTGTGTGCCTGGGACCAGGAAGCCTTGAATTATTAACAAACCAAGCTACAAGAACGTAACGTGCCTCCATACAAGCAGTTACCACAAAGCTACAGGTAGGAACACTTAGTGCTGACAATATTTAACACCCAACCTATGCTTCCAATGGGAAAATCACCCTGCAGTGAGGATCTCGTTTATACTGGCATTATCCAATATGAAACAAATCGCGTTATCCTCACTTTAGAGCAGAGGGAAAGGAGGAGGAGCCGTCAGCGGGCGCCACAAAGGCTCAGTTGGGATCACGTCTAGACGTGTGGTGCTGTGGGAGAGGCCCTCAGGCACCCGAGGCATCGGCCCGGGGGTGGCAGATGTGACAGGGGACCCTTGGGAGCCGCTCTGCTCCCTCTCGGAGCGGCAGCTGGAGGCCACACGAACACCCAGGGGCACCTCCGGCAGCTCCGCGCATCTGCCCGGGGCCGCTGAGCTGAGCCCGCGTGTGATCCCGGCTCTGACCTCCCCTTTCCTCCTCCCGAGCGCGGGATCGAGCACAGCAAGGTTGGCTCTCACCAGACCACTGCCCACAACAAATGTGCGGCAAGGGCAGAGTGCTGGGACCGTCCCCATGGTTGCAGCAGAGGTTTAAAGGCATTTCGGACCTTCTCGCTGGGAATTCGTTGTTAAGCAAAGGCTTCTGCCTTAAAACCCCGGGAGCACACGTTGAGCCGGGGCCTGTGGCTGCCTGTGTGGGCTCACCCAGGGGGAACCACGTGTTTGAAGACACACGGGGGTTAAGGGTTCGGGAGCAGCAGGAGCCCAGGCCCCGGGTATCCCTGCACTGGAACCGGTGCCAATGCAGCAGGAGCCCAGATCCTGGTTATCCCTGCACTTTATTCCCTGCCAATGCAGCAGGAGCCCAGATCCTGGTTATCCCTGCACTTTATTCCCTGCCAAAGCAGCAGGAGCCCAGATCCCTGATATCCCTGCACGGGAACCCATGGTGAGCTTCAGGATGATGTTACTATTCCCAGGCACGGAGTTGGCAATGGAATCTGGGCTGTTCTCTGCTCCATGCACTTCTCCCAGACTGTGGAGCCTGTGGGCTGCTCCGGTGCCCCGGCAGTGGAGAAAACAGAGTTATCAGCGCTGGAGCTGCCCTGGTGACCGTCACCGCCCCGTCCCCACAGGCTCGGGCACAGGGCAGCTCTGCGCCCGCTTTCCTCTCGCTCCAGACAAACAGCTTTTGTTCCCTCCCAGCTCCCATGGTAAACGCTCCATCCCTCCCTCCCCGGGCTGAGGTCAGAGCGGCAGCGAGGGGACAGCGGGGACACTCACCAAAGCCACCCTGTGACAGCCCCAGACAGACACTGCGCCGGGCCTGTGACAGGAGCGGCTCCTGCAGCCGCGGCTCAACTGGGGCAGCTAATGCAGCACAGTTCACCGGGCAGGGCCCGCACGCTCATCCATATGCAAACATGCAGATTTCCCGCTCCTCGAAGTGCCACCCTTTCCGAGGCCTGACTTCCAAACTTTGTGGGTTTTCCCTTTTTTAATGAGATTGTTCTCGTCCCTGCACAGCAGCTCCCATGCAAAAGGCACAGTTAGTTCCATGTCAACCCTTTTTTTCCTACTAAACAGAATCAAATACATAAAAATTCCAAATTGTGGCTCTAAGACAAATCACTAAACATCCTTCTCCCTCCCTCCCATATTCTATTGCTGGAAAAAAAGAAGCCATCTCACTCAGACTGGAGTAATCCACTGGATTTAATAAGATTTTTTTTTTCTCCAAACCCCGAGAATGTCACCACAAATCCAAGTTCCATCCAGTATTTTTTGTGCCAAAGTCTCTCCTGGACGTTTATTTCGGAATGACCTTCACATTAAGCCAAAGCAAGAGCATTTTAAAGCAATGCAGATATCATTTCTTCAAAAGGAAATATCAAGTCTGATGCTCTGGAATCGACCACAGCCAGAACAGGGAGCTGTGACAGACCCCACGACCAACACACGCTCAGCTTCCAACAAAATGTGCACTTTCAACACAATCAGAATAAAATAAAAAGCAGCAATAGAAACAGCTCCAGTACTTGGCATTTTTGGAGTGAATCCAGTGCTGGGATTGGAATATTCCGGAGACTGTTCACTACCAGGGATTTACTGGGTGGGCAGAGGCTCATGGGACTGACCTGAGGCATTCATGTGGGGGATGGCTCAGATCATTAATTGGGAAATAACACAAACAACAGGGAGCTGTGGGTGGGAACCTATTTCATTTTAATCCATTAATAGGAAATCGCTGCAGTTTGGGAAGAGAGCAGCGAGGGGAAGGATTTTCCCTGCTTTCACTGGTGAAAGCTGTTCCCAAAGCACCACATGGGGTTAGAGCAGCGTCACTTGTTTGGGACAGTGAGAACCACCCCAGTGCTGGGTATGAGTGGACTGCAGCCACCAGCCCTGCTTATCTCCAGGCTCCAAATGTCTCTCCCTCATACTTCCAGACATGTTTTCCACCCAGCTTCCCCACCACACTCACAGCTCACTCTGGCAGAGCCTCTGTGCTTCTCTTCAGGCCCCTGTTTAATTAGAGGAGCCCTATTAACAAATTTCCTCTCACCTGCACAGCCCAGTCCCATCTCACGGGCCATCCCTGCCCACGTCCACTTGCTCTGTAGCTCCTGTGTCACCTACACTTCCTCACACACATCACCCTGGCACTTCACCTGAAATCAGCGGCTGCTGCTGCCTGGGGTCAGCGCTGGGCCAAGGGCCGGGCAGCCAATTCCCTTCCCAGAGCCCCCACAGCCCCAGAGGGGCTCACACGGGGACTGTGTGGGCTCAGGGATAGTCGGGATCCACGCCTGGCCTGCCTGGTGAGCCAGAGGGAAAACACACCAAACCAACTCAGCACTACAGCTATTTTCAGCAAGTGCTCGTGCAGAGGGGACAGCAAGGACATGCTCCTGTCCCTTGGTGGGAGTTTAACGAGGAGCCTCTGTGAGGGTGTCCTGAGGGATGGGAATGGAGCAGGGATTTATCTGAGCCTCACTCCTCACTCTTCCCAGGTTGCCCAGAGAAGCTGTGGCTGCCCCATCCCTGGAAGTGTCCAAGGCCAGGTTGGACGGGGTTTGGAGCAACCTGGGCTGGTGGAAGGTGTCCCTGCCCATGGCAGGGGTGGGACTGGGTGGGCTTCAAGGTCCCTTCCCACCCAAACCATCCTGTGATTCCATGACTCCCAGAGTCCTGCTCCTGACCCAGCTCTGACGAGGGACTGAGGGCTGAGGTAGCCTCGGAACACAACGGTCCTGCTTGAAACAGGCCCCCAAAATGCACTGAAAGGCCTGAAAACCTGACAGCAAAAAGGGAGAGCAGCAAGGTCCCGAATCCATTATCAACAGCACAGAAAGCAGAGACATTTCTCAGCGTGTCTCCAGGACGATCGTGGCTCCCTGCCAGAAAGACAGAGCCGAAGGCACCGTCCCGCACTCCCCTCCCGCTCATTGCAAATTCCAGTTTAATGCCAAAGCCACGGAATGCCACGGCGGGCTGGGCTCTCAAGCAGAAAGCTAAATTGTACATATTGCTCTGTCTGAACTGAATCCCTTGGACAGAACAGGGGGAAGAGGGGTCTGGGATAAGGCAGAATCATTGATATTCGGGAAGGGCCTTGTGGAACTCCCCCAGACTCTCCTGTGTGCCGGCTCCCGGGAGAGGGAGAGCAGAGCTGCCAGGGCTCCACCTGACCAGATTAGTTTGGCAAGGACAGGGATCCTCCCCAAAAGGTTCCACTGCCTGCCCTTGTTGTTACACAACAACAGGCTCACAAGTTTCTCCTCCCATCAATATCACAGAAACACGTGGAATTACTGAATCCAGTCATTCCTATTCAGGTTTTTTTTGGATGTTTTGCAGGACTTTGAAGTGTCTCTTCCCTCCCGTTCCACAAAGTGTGCAGGGAGGTCTGAGCCCTCTCCACCTCTGGCACTCCTGCTCTCGACACACACATACACACATTTTTTCCTGGAAGTCATTTTCTACAGGGGAAAAAAACCTGTGGGACATAGGAGTTTATGGGATGATACTTCCAGTTTGCCAGTAGCACATCCTTTTAGTAAAGGGCAGAGTCAGGAGCACCACGAACAGTTTCCCAAATATCTCCCCACCCAGGGGCTGCCCAGAGAGTGGAGGCTCCACTGTCTGCACGTTCAAGGCACTTCGGAAACGCAGCATAGAAAAGTTTTATAAAAAGTTTTACTCGGAAAACAAGGAAGAACAACAACATAACTGCTGACAACAATAATAAAATTAACAAAATGCTAATTAATGGCTACCCGTGGCCTTGTCCTGGTCGATATAAAAAGTGTAACATCAGATCCAGTGTACAAATACAAAAAAAATTGTGCATAATAAATGTACTATAATACTGTACATACAGCATAAACCGTTCAATGAGAATGAATTAAATATACCTATTTGTCTCCTGACTTGGAAGACAAAAGAATAAAGTTCTATAGTCCCAGAGTCAGTGTATAAACCCTCTCCAGGGGCTGCATCACTAGCCAACGGTATCCCTGAAAACAAGCAGAGTCAAATATTCCCTTAATGGAAGCCATTATTGACGGGGCTGCTGGTTATTATGATAAACTAGGAGAGAAAACCACAGTACATCAACTCAGCCAACATTAAATCCAGACCGAGTTCTTCCCATCTCCTGACTTGCTACTGGCACTGCTTTTGTTCGAGCCTGCTTTGGACTTCTTCCCTCTGGAACTGCCGGGGTTGTTTTGGTTGTTGTAGGCCTGGATGGCGAGGTCCAGGCGGTCCTGAGCCACTTTGATTTCCCTCTGCAGGATCTCCAGGTCGGTGGGGATGTTGCCCTCGGTGCTGCCGTACTGCTGCTCCTGAGCTATGTTGGCTTTGTTCTGCTTGTAGGCCATCTTGGCGTTGGACAGCTCCGTGCACGGCATCTGCTCCGGCTTCAGGGCGATGTTGTACCCGGGGGGAGCCGACGGGGTGTTCCAGGTGAACGGGTAGTTGAAGGTCCCAGAGTCCGCCAGCTCCTTCCTCTTGCTGTTGAGCGTGTCCCGGATGGTGCCCAACCCCAAGTGCAGCATCTCCCAGACGTTCAGGAGCAGGCACATGCAGCTCACCCCGTACATTATCAGCAGGAAGATGGTCTTCTCGGTCGGCCTGGAGATGAAGCAGTCGACTCTGTGCGGGCAGGGCTTCCTGCTGCACACGAACACGGGGCTCACCTGGAAGCCGTACAGGAAGTACTGCCCCACCAGGAAGCCGACCTCGAACAGGGCCCTGGCCAGGAGCTGCAGCACGTAAATCCTCATGAGCCCGTCCTCCCGGATCTGCCGCCGGCCGTCGTGCTTGGCCTTGGCGGGGCTCTGCTTCTCCTTGCTCTCCCGGACACTCTCCACCTCCATCTCCGGGTACATCATTGGGTCCTCCTCGTGGTCGCCCTCAGCCTCCTCCAGGCCGCGGTGCTGCTTCCAGCGGATGGGCAGGCTCCTCCTGCGGCCCCTCCTCCCGGCCTCGCCGTGCTCCACCATCCGGGCGATCTTGTGGATGGCGTAGCCCAGGTACAGCACCGAGGGAGTGGCCACCAGGATGATCTGGAAGACCCAGAACCTGACGTGCGAGAGGGGGGCGAAGGCGTCGTAGCAGACGTTCTCGCAGCCCGGCTGCTCCGTGTTGCACACGAACTTGCTCTGCTCGTCGTAGTAAATGGACTCTCCCCCCACGGCAATCAGGACGATCCGGAACACAATCAGCACTGTCAGCCAGATCTTGCCAACAAAGGTCGAGTGGTTCTGGATCTCCTCTAACAGGCGGGTCAGAAAGCTCCAACTCATGGTGGTCAAGTGAGTTTATCTAAACAAACAAACAAACCCCCCAGATTTTTATCAGTTTATCAGCTTGAGCCCAAGCAGTGCAAACACTCAATCAAGAGAGTCTGAAAACTCCACACTTTTACACCCAACACCCATCCATGTCTGTGACATCACCTGTTATCGGGATCCAGCTGCCAGAACTTGCTTGAAGATCCTACGTCTCCTCCGCAGGCCTTTGAGGAGTCTGCTGGGAGAAAAAGTAGCAGTTTAGTGACATTTCACAGAAAAATGTTCTCCCAAAGCTACTCTCCAGCCAAAGAGAGAGACACACGTGCTCTGTAAGGCACCACCTTCAGAGGAAAGATTTTTTTTTTAATACTTGATCTAAACCTACTCTCTCTCAGTGGGAAGCCAATGTCCTGTCCCTCCAGGTCCTTGTCCAAAGTCCCTCTCCAGCTCTCCTGGAGCCCCTTTAGGCACTGGAAGTGTCTTCTCTTCTCCAGGTGAACCCCCCCAGCTCTCCCAGCCTGGCCCCAGAGCAGGGGTCTCCAGCCTTGTGAGGGTGGGGAGGCCCTGGCACAGGTTGCCCAGAGAAGCTGTGGCTGCCCCTGGAAGTGTCCAAGGCCAGGTTGGACGGGGCTTGGAGCAACCTGGGACAGTGGAAGGTGTCCCTGCCCATGGCAGGGGGTGGCACTGGATGAGTTTTAAGGTCCTTTCCAATGCAATCCTATGATTCCACGACAAATTTGCAACCCTAACAATAAAAAAACCCATCCACGGAAACTCTCATCTGGCAACACTGCAAAAAAACCCCCACCAACCTTCCAAGCCCACGTGGAGCTCCAAGGAGTGAAAATGGTAACACATGGAGCACTGGAAGAGCTGTTGGACACTGTTATAGCACAGGGGATGAGACATCTTTCAGAGCTTTGTTGATGTCAAATATCAGTTTGTCAAACATTATCAACAGAAACTTTTATAACAGAACATTTGGTGAAAGATCCTAAACCCAGAACTGGACAAATCTCCAGCACTCTGATCTTAAAAGGAATTTATTCTTAACCTGGAGAAATTTCAGGAGACTGGAAGAAAACTAGGAACTATTCAACTTCTTTCACACAACCAGAGTTGTTCACAAGCAAAATAATGAAATGTGAGGAGATGCAATCAATGCAGAATTAAAGGATGTAAATGTAATCCTCCTCTGGTGGAATTCAATGTGTTTAGCCAACAAGAGGGACATGGTGTGGATGGGCTGTGCAGGACATTTGATCTATCACTTCATGGCACTGAGAGAAAAAAATAGCACAGGAGAGTATTAAAAAAAGACCACATTAAGTGGACCAAAAGTAGCCAAGGTCTTGACAAATGATTCCCACATTAGATCCAAGATCAGTCCCATAATGCACAGCCAGCCAGGCCTGGCAGGCAGGCTGGATCTCCCCAGGCTTGGCTGGGAAGTGGCTGCTGACAAAATGGGCACATGGACACAAGTTTGCAGGCTTAGAACTGGAGATGAGTTACCAGTGAAACAGGAAAACATGGATTGCTGGAGAGGCTGGAAGAGATCCACTGCTTAAATCACGCTCAGTGCAAAGCTGCAGCTCAGAGCAGCACGGGGAGAGGGAGTGGATGTCAGCTCACAGGGAAGGGAGGGTCCTCAGGGATAAGGGTCTCAATAAAAGCTGGTGATGCAGCGAAGGTTGAGGATGTGAGCCCTGGCTGTGTCACCTGCAGTCAGGAGCAGGGAGGGTGAGCTCACCTCCTTGTCAGCGAGCCAGCCCTCGGCGCCCGCGGCCGCATCCTTCAGCAGTTCCTCAGACATCAGAGGGCCAACACGGGGGGCTCAGACCCAGCTGAGGGACGGGGAAGGTGCCTGAAAGGGAGGCATTTAGAGAGCTCAGTTTGTTTAGCTGGGAAAAATGGGAAGAAAATGGAAGGAATTACAGGTGAATCTCAATACCAACAGGCTCAGGATCATAACTGTCATCAAAATTATCAACTAAGACAAAAATCACTGGCCTTGACTCAGGTGGACAGGCCACCTGCACTTAACCCTGAAAAGGGCCATGTATAAATTACAAGTGTTTGATAGATAGCAGCTATTAGAGGTGCATGCAATCCTGCAAAGGTTTCCACCAGAGCTCTTCCTCCTACACAACACTGATGCCCTTGTGCCATAGAGAACTGGTAGAAATAACACGTTTTTAGCAGGAAAAAAAAGAGGAGAGGTTCCAGTCCCAGTGCAGTCCCTCTCTGCACCCCTATTTCAGAAAGACATCCAAGGCCAGCTCTGCCTCTCTGAGTTCTGCATTAGTGGGACAAGAGACAGTGCTTCAGACACCCCCACGCTCAGCATTTCCCACCTGGATTTGGGGGCAAACGGGACAGGCACGTTCCTGCTGACATGCCATGATTTGTCAACTAAAAAAGGAGACAAAACCCAAAGGAGTTTAAGAAGGGGTTAATTCTCTCTCACTGAAAACATTAGGGCTCTGAAAATAAACTACTAAGTAAATTTTAAATTAATTAAATGCTGTTGCCAATGTAAATTTGGAATAACAGCAGGAACCAGTCTTTAAATCCTCAGATACTGTCACATTCAGTTAACAGCAGAGAAGTTTGAAATGAGTGCTGGTTTCAGTAAGAGAGTCTTTACTTTTAGACAAGCTGCTACCTTATCATCAAGGAAACTCCTTTGTGTCATGTGCCAGCTTTTCATGGTGTGTCTTCTACCTGCAGACACATTCCTGAGGCTGGGCTGTTCCTCAGCAGCTGTACAGAGGGAGACACAGGGATCATCCCTCGGCCACCACTCAGCCACTGCAGGGCATGAGGCACCTGGGTCATTTTGGGACTTGTCCAGGAGGATTCCCAACCTGGATCCCACCAGTTATAACAATGCACAGAGTGCCAGAGCCTCTGTGTACAGACCCTGCCCACACAGACATGTGTGCTGGGGTTCCCTCCAGCCCTCGGCTGCAGTTGGCATTATCTGACCCTGGTTAATGGCCAGGACCTCTGTCAATTGGCAGGTCCTGGCTGCGGAGCTGCAAAGCTGCTGAAGAGCTGATTCTCTTCCCAATAAAGTGGGAAGGACTAAATTTAGTCCTAGTCCTGAGCAGAGTGGTGGCATGAACACGGGAGGGCCCACCAGCAGGCAAAGAACTTCCTTGTCTTTAAGGAAACATCTCGGTCCAAGCAAAATGACCAGTCATTAAACTCTGCTATCCCAGGTTCAGTCTATCCCAATTAAATGCCATGCAAAAACAAGACTTTACAAGCAGAGTTATGGCTTGGAAGTGGTGTCATCCTTCAGTTTTGTGGGATCAGCCAAGGTTAGAGAAGCACGTTCTGCCTTTGCACCACGTGCTGCAGCACCCAGACACATCACAGTAACCTTCACCCAGCCTACACTCGTGTCTCCTGCCTCTGTGGTTCTGGCAACATTTAACTCAATAATTTTCCAATGTTTGAAAGAAAGGTTTATGGACACTGACACGCATCCCAGAAAGGCAAAATGTCAGCAATTTCAGCTAATTTAAGTCATGCCAGAAAGTGCATTTGAGGGAGATTTTCATTCCCTGTATTTGTCATAAATTCATTCCAGCACTTCCAGCAGAGGAGGCTCCTTGGAGTGGGCAGGATCCACAAACACCAGACACTTATCTCTGACAGCAAACTGGCTCCTGAATTAAAGCTTTGCAGGTGCTGACATCCAGAGACAAAGAAGAAGAATTTGGACCAGGTACATGAGAAAAGAGAAATCAGCTTTCCCTGCAGAAAAGCTCTGGAGCTGTTCAACATGGCTGTTGCTCAGTTACAGCCAGGGAACAGTCCCCCAGGTGTGCCCTGTCCCCTCCCCAGCCCAGGGTGGGCTTTGGGTATGAACTGAAACATTTCAGATGCTCCAGCCATGTCCCCATCCCGCTGGGATGGAGGCACCTGGAAGGCAGCACCACACACACCAGATGGGGGTTAAAACCAACCTCACTCCAGGCTGTCAAATCCCAAACGCCCTCAGAACCATCTCCTGATCCTGTCCCAGCACAGCCTGGGTCCTAGCCCAGTATAAACTGGATCCCTGAGCAGACTGGACCTCAGCTCAGTACAGACTGGATCCCGTGGCCACGTGTCAGTAAAGACTGGCCCATGTCCCAGCACACACTGGATGTCCTGGCCTCATCTCAGCACAGACTGGGCTCATCCCAGTACAGACTGGATGTCCTGGGCTCCATCCCAGTACACACTGGATGTCCTGGGCTCCATCCCAGTACAGACTGGATGTCCTGGGCTCCATCCCAGTACACACTGGATGTCCTGGGCTCCATCCCAGTACAGACTGGATGTCCTGGGCTCCATCCCAGTACAGACTGGCAGCTGCAGCCCAAAGCACCTGAGCAGGGGGGTGCAGGGAGTTGTGTTGGTTTGGTTCAGCACTAGGCAGTGCTGTGAGGATCAGGGAGTTGGACTGGATCATCCTTATGGATCCCTTCCAGCCCAAGCTCTTCTGTGATGCTTCTCTGACCCCAGGATTCACTTCCTGTCATTCCCTGTCATTCCATCAACAGTGGGGCTGGGCACAGCCTCAGTATGTCCATGGATGGCACCACAGTTCACCAGCACCTCCTCAGAAAGGTTTGTCTGCAGGAGGTTTTGTAGCCCTGAGGCAGTTGTTAAGGAGAATCAATATATCTAGAGAAGACTTTTCTCCCCCTTAGAATATGTCCTCATGGGTCATGCAAATAAAATTTGATTAATTTATTAGTGATTTATTTGTTTTGTTTTGGTTTTAAGCAGTTTAAAAAGACATGTGCTGAGCAAGAAAAAAAAGAAGAATAAATGCATGGCAATTCTGTTGTTAATCAAAAGAGGTTTCATGCTGCATGAAAGTGAAATTGGGCCCACGGGCTAATTAAAATAGGATTTGAATTAGGATGAATGAATAATTAGCATTATTCATTCAAATCTCATTTACATTGAAAAGTAAGAAACTACATGATTTACAAGTACTTTTGAGGAAGCAGAGAAGTTGCCCTTTTTTTTTTTTTAACCTGAAAAATGAGTAAGACTTTATTGCTCAAGAAAGGAGAGAGTTGGGGTCAGACCCAGCACCAGCAAGGGACCAGCACATCCCAAATCCTGGCGAGCACTGTGCTGATGCCACCTGCACTCCATGAGCAGCAATTCCAGTGTCCATCCTCCCAAGTGACACAAGGGCGAGGATGTGGGGGTATTCCCAGGAATACCTGGGCTAAGACAACTCACAGCCATCACCCTTCTATCCTTTGTGAAGGAAGTGGGCTCGATCACTACCAACTTCCCTCCTATTTTCGGCAACACAGATGAAAAAGAATAAGAAAATTGTACTGAGTTTTATTTTTGATCTTACAGAGCACTTGGGAAGGAAAAAGGTTGGGACTTTTTGGAGAGCACACAGTGCTCTTTCAAACAAATCCTCTGTCAGTTGGCAGGGCTCACGTGGCAGCAGCAGAGAAGGGTTTGGAAAAAGCCACAATGTCAATGTCAATTTGGAAACCATTTCTGAACGGTGCCTTCCAATCCCAGGCAGGATAACAAGGCTCTGCTGATCCCCAGACCAACCCCCCGAGCCTGAAAAACCCCCGTTGAATCCCGAGACCACAGATCCAACGCGGGATATAAATAGAACAGAAAATATGGGTAAGAGGTAGGGATATAATAAGATTCTTGCGCTGTCAAAAAAATAAAGATGTCAAGAACGTATCTCTTTGAAAATCAACATATACCCACCCGAGCATTCAGCTCACAGATAAACTGGAATTTGCAGCTCAGACACGAACCTCCGGCCGCCTCGGCGTGCCCTCAGGTACTGCTAACATGGGAAGCCAAGTGACAATTTTAGCAACACTCCCCCGCAGTGACAAAATTCAAATGAAAATCACGACGTGTTTCGTGCTGGCCCAAACCAGCTCCTACTGCACCTACAGCAACCACAGTGCTCCGGGAAGCCTCGTGTCCAGGGCAGGCCCCCCGGAACGCGCGGATCCCAGCTTGGAGGAGCAGGGTCCGTGAGGACAGGGCGAGCTGTGAGCCTGACTCGAGGCTCCATGGAAAATGGAGGCTGGGCTGTACAGCCTCTGTCACCCCGTGAGATTCTGGAGACCTGTGGCGGGGTCTGTGTCAGCCTGAATCCCTTCACACACCTCGGCAATCAGAGTCCCTTTGAACGACGGGAATGAGCTGTGCCAGCTCAGAGCTGGGCACTTCTGCAAGGGCTCGGGGCAGAGCTGTGTGACACCCAGCAAGCCCGAGGCTGCTCCTCACACCTCTGCTGCACACTCCAGGTATCAGGAGGCAGAGGGAGCCCCAGGTGCCGCCAGCACTGTGGTGATGTGAAATGTAATAAAGGAGAGAACCAAGCGGTCCCAGACGCCGTCTGACAGCCCGCAGGGAAACCCTCGCTCACACCAACGTGGCATCGTGCCAGACCTCGGGACCAGCACCGTGCCAGGACGGAGCTTGGAGCAGCAACATCCCCCCTCCTTCACAACCCGCTGGTGGATGAGGAATAACCCAGCAAGGGAAGGGCTGCTGGAGCTCAGAACCAACCCGGCGTCTCCAGAGCTCTCCCTCTCTCCTCTCACCTCCTCACCCTCACACACCTCACAGCATTTCTCCAGCACAGTCCAGAGCTGAAGGGTCTGGAGTCTCCTCCACACTCCCTGTCTCCCAATAAGCCTGGTAAATGTAAATATGAAGGAAGAGAAATCCCATGTGATCCCTGCTCAAAACCAGCTCAGGAATGTGCAGCTTGTACCACAGATCATATCCCCCAGCCCCTAAGAGGGAGTGGCTCATTCGTCCCTGTGGAGGAGCTGGGAATGCACAGGAAAACTCTTTCCCTGTGTCTTTCAGATGGATGTTGAAAACAAGGAATTACAGGGTAGGTAAAGAACAATTTTTTTTCCCAAGATTTTGAATCTAAAGCTCAAGCCATACTAGAGAAACCACCTGACACTGCTGTTCTGTTTAACCAAACCCTGAGCTCTGGGACTGCCAGCCCAGGCTGTCTGCACACAACAGGGCCAGGGCCTGCTGTTTGCACCCTTAAAATCTAAAGATCTGGAGGACATCCTCGAGACAGAGTGTTCCTACCAGCTGAAATGACCATCAGGCCGGGTGAGTGTGGCCTCAGGTGCACACAACACTCCCAACTGTGAGCTGCCACAGAAGCCCAGAGTATTCTGAGTTGGAAGGGACCCACAAGGCTCATCGAGTCCAACTCTTAACCCTGCACAGGACCACGTCAGCTCCCTTTGTTCCACACCACGGGGATCCTGCAGGCTTTTCCACAAGCTGCTCATGCACAGACAGCACTCACCTCCCAGACACCGAGTTCTCCTCCTGAGGAGATGCTCCCAGACACCACCTGATGAGACACCACGTGCTCCTCAGCTCAGGGCTACTAAAGCCTGGCTCAGCCACACGAGGTGTTACCACTTGCTAAAATACTTCCAAGGTCAAACACAGCAGACACCCAACCAGCCCAGTGCTGAGACAGCTCCTTTGTAAGGGGAGAGCCACCCATTTACTTGAGTCAGTCACTTATATTCTGAAGATGCTCAACCCTGGTACCCATATGCATCACCATCAGAAATGTGTAACATTCCCATAACCAGTAGTTTAAACTATTTTACAACCCAAAACAGAGTCAACCAGAGCAGGTTGGCGGGTCCATGTCCAGTTTTAAATATCTTCGAGGCTGGAGACCTCACAAGCTCTCTGGGCATCTAGATCCTATTAAATATCTCCAGGGGTGGAGACCCCACAAGCATTGAAAAGTAAGACTGGGCAGCCTGATCCTACTGCATCTGACCATACTCACAGTATAAAAAGCTTTTCTTATGTTTAAGCAGAATCTTCCCTGTTTCAATCTGTGCCCATCACCATTCCCTGGGTACCACGGAGACCAGTCTAGGACAAGAGCAAGGGCAGCAAAGCAATTTCTCCTGTAAGAATGAACATAACAGAGCGTGACCAAGTTGCAGGGACTAGAACCACACAGGCAAAGTGAAACTGTGACCTGAGATCTTCCCCCTCCCAGTGCCCACCCCTGCCCAACGCGCCCTGCACAGCACTGGCACGATATAAAAGAATATATTATTAAAATATCAAAAATATCGTGCTGTTGCCTGCTGCACCTGTGCTTCCAGTGGTTACTCTTACAAATATGGGCGATGGAAGGATAAAGATGGAAAAAACCCAGCAGGAAGGATGACAAAAGGCAGGTCCTGAGTGAGCAACAGCAATCCAAGCGGGAGTGCGATGGAGCAGGGCCGGGGTTCCTGCACACACCAGGCATTGAATCCCAGGATTCAGCCCCTTTCAGGATGCACTCGCCAGCCTGGGAAGAGTGGTGGGAAATAGCAGGAGAGTGTCCTGCTGCAAACTCTGCCTGTGTGGGCAGGCCCAGCACACCTGGGGACACACAGGGAACGGGAGCACCTTGGCCTACCCAAGACCCCAGAGCTATGGACAGACACCCACTCTGACCCTGAGCACTGCAGACACACAAGAACAACTGTATTTCAAGTGGAAAATCACAGAACACACAGGAAGTGGAAGGTCCAAATGGAAGAACAGAGAACACCCGGGTACCACTGCGTGTTGCACACCCCACAAAACATGCACTGCTGGGGAACTGCCTTTGGACAGGCTGGAGCACCCATGTGCTTACCTGGGTCCCTCCAGCTCTCTGGCAGCGAGGTCTGGGAAAGGCCATCCTCACTCCCATACAGTTCCAGTCAGGCATCAGAGAGATGTCCCTGCCTTGATGTGATTAGCAACTCGAATAACCACAGCACCCTTTTAACTACACCCGAGTCCACTGCAGCCAACAGCTCCACAGCGTTTCCCCACCGGGCTCCTCCTCTTCGCTCAGAGGGATGAGTGTCAAAAGAAAATGACACACTGGAGGCAGCTGACCCGAATATCACTCTCCCGGCCATTTCGGGAAAGGAGAGAGAAGCCAAAAGAGAGCAGTTCTGTCGGCTCCTGTACGTCAAAGGCTCTCACTGAGTGGGAGGCAGCCGGGTGGGGATGAACACCTACTGCTCCCACCACCATCTTACAACAGCCAGGAGAACCACAGCAGTGTTTGCTTCAGAGATAAGCCTCACAAACTAGCACGAACAGCTTGAGAGTGAAAGGGATACCGTGCACCACAGCACAGCCCGGGCTGCCACGGCGTCCCCAGTCACCCACCCCGCACCACGGCAGCTGCTCCTCCCTGACCCACATTCAAAAAAAAGACTTCTATTCCCCAGCTCTGTCATCTGGTCTAGTAGGAGCCACCTCCTCAGCCTACAACTCCACCAAATCCATGGCACGTTTCCTACAACAGCAGCTCTGCAGAGAGGGAAGGATGTTTGGAGGCAGAGGAGGGCACTGCAAACCCTCACTGCCAACTGCTTTTCCAGCCATCCAGTACCTGGAACTGCTCCACTAAACCCTGTCAGGACTGTCCCTGAGATGAGACATGGAGGACCAGAGAGCTTTGCAGACCCCTGTGACTTCACCCAACTGTGCATGTCTGGGTGGAGAGCACTAAGGTGAGGAGGACAGTGGCCAGCCATGCCAGAAGGCATTTCCTCCCTGTTTGCCATCGGTGTGTCACAACAATCCATGAGGATGGGGTTGGGATGGACAGACAAGGACAAGGGGTCCACAACGACAAACCAGCACCTCACTCACTCTCCTGGTGCTTCAACTTCTCCCAAGCGCTACCAAACTGCACAATTAGTTGGAGAGTTGTGTTTGAATACACCAGTTTTACACACAGTTTATTTTGAGTCGAGGAGCAGAGTAAGTCAGAGCAGATTGCCACACTGGCATTAAAATGCTACTCCAGCTTGAGTTCAACAGGAGTCTTAACAGCTTTATTTTGCCAAAGATAAAATTCAGAATATAAATACGCACATAAATTCACTAAGTGACTTATCTGTTGAAAAAAACACTTATTTCGTATAATAAAATAAGAAACCTAAACCCGTCATTTTCTGAGAGACTTGACTACTTTGAGACCCCCCTGGGAAGAGACCCGAAGCACTGACTGAACTCCCTATGCTCCATCACCCCAGCTGGGGAACACACACACCAACTGGGGCTCTTGTCTCTGAGAATAGCTGCAAATAACTCCTATTTCATGAGAGGAAGCTGGGAGCTCTTTTCCCAGTGACAGGCACACTGCACCAAGCACACAGCCGGTCAGCTTTTTCCACCTCACTGCTTTCCATGGCCATGAATTTTATCAGACTTATTATCAACACAGATTATGACAATTAGCAGCAAATTTTAGGCAGATCGGCCTCCCAAAGGCACAGAAACTGCTTAAGCCAGACAGGAGGTTTGATGGGAGAGCACCAACAGGACCAGGGTATGGTATGTACCATGTTTTGGTGCTGCTGGAGGTGGGAAAAGCCCACTGAGACACTGCAGGAACAACTGTGGGCACAGTGACAGTGCCAAGCTTCCCCTGGCTTCTTACTTCCAAGCCTCCAAGACTTTAGGAGGGTGGTTACATCTTGTTAGTCACTGAGTGGACTTCATGCTGGTTCTGTAGATGCTCCAAGCCATTCCCCTTCGTCCTGTCAATCCAGGCCCTTGTCCAAAGTCCCTCTCCAGCTCTCTTGGAGCCCCTTTAGGCACTGGAAGGGGCTCCAAGGTCTCCCCAGAGCCTTCTCTTCTCCAGGTTGAACACCCCCAGCTCCCCCAGCCTCTCTCCACAGCAGAGCTGTTCCAGCCCTCAGACCATTCCCCCTTCAGAATCAAGTTCATTCCTTAATGCTACTAAAAGAGATGAAAATGTCACCCAGGGAAAATGGTGTGACTTCTTTACACTCCTACTCACAGAACCAGGAACAGCCCCAGGCTCCTCCCCAGCCCCTTCCTCTGGGACTCACTGGGAAACTGGTTTCCACTGCAGGGACTGGAGAGGAGGTTACAGAATAAGGAGCCAAAATGAGGAGTCACAGCTGGGAGGGCTGGGTGGATTCACCAGAGATGGACCCCCAGCCTGGCTACAGCCATTGGCACTGTCGTGTCATCTCTGCAAGACAAGGGCTGCGAAGAAAATCCCGGCAAAGTGCAGCTCCCCAAAGCCAACATTCCCATGGGACTAATGAGACGATGTCATACAGAGCAGAATCAGTGGGCAATGGATTGTCTGTGTAAGCACAGTGTCCCACGGGGCTTCTGCAAAGGCACTTCCAACCCCACAGAGGGCCCCAGACCACCGGGGTTTAACCTCTGCAAGTCCCTCTCACCAACGGCTTCTTGAAGGGACCCCAAAAGGCCACTGGAAAAGTGATCATCCCCTTCACAGAGAGAAGACACGGGAAGAGGAGTAAATGGTCATTTCCTGCACGGGAAGGAGGTCAGAGCAGGGATCACAGGAGAGGTTGGGATCTGTGCCAGACCAGGACATTGTCTGAGTGCACGCAACAGTGAGTGGGTGGGATGTGACCAAGGCTCCTGCTGGCAATATTCAAGGTGAGGCAGATAAACAACCACAAAGAGCAGCACAGGGACCACACGAATCTATGCAAACTAGTAATAAAATGGCAGATGGAATTCCACATGGATAAAGTGATGCATACATGGAATAAACAAAATAAATCTCAATTTCACACTAAAAATAGATGTGCCCTGAGATGGCCTCAGCGAGCAGGAGGTCTTGGGGCTGTCAGGCTGCTCTGTGAAAGCTCCAGCATAGCCAACAGCATTTCACCAGTTTGAGAGGACAAGCACCCCAACAGCACATGCTGCCACATGCCCTGAGTGCCCCCAGCTCAGCCAGGGCTCTGGTCACTCTCGTCATCCCCCATCATGGGAACAGAGGAGAACAGGAGCTTGGAGAAGATGTATGGACACAACAGTGTGGGAGGAACACTGGAAAAACAAGGCAGCTGAGTGGGGGAAAGAGGGTGGGGAGTTGTAAAACCTGGGAGAGCCTGCAGAAGGAAAACCCCTTCAAACCTGAAAACCAGAGACAGCGCCTCAGACACGGGTAAGTCTGGAGGCAAAAAGCAGCCAGCAGGCTGAGGGGGTCCAGACACGCTTCTCCTGGGCTCTGCTGCAGCTTCCACGTGGCCAGGTTGGGAACGGGACTCCAAAGCGGGCAAGGCTCTGTCTGATCCGTGTGGCTGTTCCAAGGAGCCAGGAGTGTCCCTGCTGTCGGGGAAAGAGCCCTGCCATGAACCAGCCAAAAGAGAGGCATCAAAGGGAACAGAACCCAGGTTATTAATCACTGCTCAGTTCCAGCCCTCTGGAATTGCACCTGTACTCATGGACAGTCTCAGGCACTTGGCACACTTGGAGGGCAGAGGTGATTTATTTCTGTCCCTGCTCTCCAGCACAATCCTCCAGAGAATCGGATCTCACAGACACCCGGATCGATACGGTCTGGCCACAGATTGCAAAGAGAGCAAGAGCAGGCTGAGGAATACAAACCAAGCACGGAGGAGGAGGATTCCAGTCAGCTCTAGGAGCAAAGACTTCACACGAACCAAGAAATACAGATAATTTCCATATGGCCCTATGGAAGATCACCATGTGCTTCCTCCCAAACATTTCAATTTTATTTTGCTTTTTAGTGTCGCAGGAATCACACTTTCCATTATGAAAATTCTCCTATTCAAAATAGCTTAACTACATATCTGAGTGCCAGAGTAACTCTGAGTATCTGAGCAACTCCTGCAAGCGAATCTGCTGCAAGTAAAATTCATTTCTCAGCTACTTCAATGTTTACCATGAAAATCAGAAGATTTTTAGATTTTTAGGAGGAGGTGCTGCGTGCAGGGCAGCACACCTGAGAGATACATTAAGAACTTTAATTACTTTTAATTTTATGCCATTTAAAAATGTATTGACAGCAGGGCAGCCCCTTCCCTGCCTACAGACTCATCTCTACCCTCAGGATCAGGCAGCGTTAGCTGTCAGCCGCGCATCCCTGAATCCACACCAGCGCCAGGCTTCCAGGAGTTAACGAGGAGTCAAAACTCCCCCTCGAGGGAACATGGGAACACACAAGACATGCAGTCGCCCTTCCAGGCTCTTGACTATTTTAAGCACAAGAGATACAGAACTTCCCGGGCAACGGCTTGTTCTGTACAAGTCTGGCAGGGCTGCACCGCTCACGCGTGTCCAGCACTGGGATGTCACCACGAGCAGGAGTTGGCATCCCCTGATGCCACCAGCATCATCTCTCATCCTTTAAGAGCCGTATTCCCAATATACACCACAGCCAGACCCAGGTTTAAACCCAGAAATCATCAAGTTTAGACCCAGAAGTCATTTTTCCACATTCCTTTGACACAAAAACAAAGCGGGAAGAAGTGTCCCCAACACGCTGCATTTTTTGGGATGACTTTGGGGATGTTCAGGAGAGGGGTAGTGCTGTGCACAGCTACCCACGGGGCAAAAAACACACCCCTGGGGCAAAAACCACACCCCTGGACAGCAGACTAACGGATGGGCAGGGATTCAATGGAAAACAATCCAATGCAGTTGTCAGCCTCCTCCAGCACCACCAACTGCGCCATCCGAACGGGAAAGGACGGGAGGCACAATCTGCTGGTCATCCATATGGATGTCTTCCCTTTCTCCTTCCACAGGATCTCAAACGAGGTCAAGCACGCACACTCAGACCTGTTTCCTGACAAATTTGTAACTAAAAAGGTGGAACTAATAACTGCAAGAGCCCAGAGCTGGTATCATGGACTTATTTAGGCAAAAGAGCTGGCTGACTCCAGCGATTCCCACGTAAGCAAGGTAATAGGGAGAAATCCCTCACTCCCGTGCAAAAATGTAAATCCCAGCTCAGTGAGGCACTTAAGCACATGCCTAATGCAAAGCTGGAAATAAATCCTGCTAATAACCGGGCTGCTCACTTATTCACAGCTAGGCACAGCTTAAGTACCTGGAGGAGCTGGAAATACCCCCGAGCCCCCGGAAAAGAGCCTAAACCAGACTGGTCTGGGAATTAATCACAGCAGCATGAGCAGAACTGTTAATATGAACTGGAGGAGGACTGTCTGTGTGTGTGTGTGTGTGTGTGCTGAAGCATCTGTTCAAGTTTAGGCATATAAAACATTTTTCAGCCCAATGACTCCAGAGGGAAATGCCTCATACATCAGCTCATCTGACTCAATTTTTCCATCACATTTCCCTTAATACAGTTTTGTCCATAAATACACTATTTGTTTCTTCCAAATATAGATCTTTATTTATAGCCAGAAAACCTTGTAACTTGTGTTATTGCTTAAAGCCCTAGGTTCTGCTTTGAGACGGAATCAGGTTCTCCTTTGAAATGGAATCACTAAGGAATTATTTTCCAGTACTGAGGTATGAAACCAAGTTCTCTACATTTGCAGAAGGAAAAGGGTTTTCTTTTTGCTCCAATATTTACCGCTCTCACTATTTCCTTCACCAGAAATCACCAGTAAAATCATAACTGCCCAGCCACACGTTGCATATGGCATTTATCCCACACCACATCCAGGAACTTTCACCTTAAATCCTCATTAAAAAAAACCCACAAGTTTTTAAAAATCCCAACCAGATCTTCCAGCCAGTCCTGAATTTGAGGAGAACTGTGTGTCACTACCCGAGCAGTGATAATTCATATTTATGGCACGAGGTCAGAAAAGGAAATGTAACGTTGCCCTTTCCCCTCCAAGGAACATTTGGAAGACAAATTCCTTTTTGTGGCTTTTAACTGAAAGCAAACGACCTCCCAAAACCGGGACGAGGAACGGGCAGTGAACGGGCAATTTGGTGATTCTGACATTTTAGAAGTATGGGGTTTTTCGCAAGTGAAATGTGATTTAATACAATTTGACCCTTATTAACCACAACTTGAGTAAAATAAAAAGAAAAGCACAGCACATTATTCCATGGCACAAGCACAGGACAGTGGAATTGCACTCCTGCTGCTCATGGGAAGTGCAGAGATCAGCTGGAAGGACTGATAATGCCACGGGGTTCTGCAATAAAACCTTCATTTCCTCCCAAACGGGGCACACAACCACCCGTGGGGGCCCAGGGACCAGATTTTGGAGGCTCATCCACAATTCAGCGAGTCTCCCTACCTGGTGGGCAGGAATGTGCTTCCGTGCACAGTGCAGTGCTAAAGTAAAGCAACCATAAAATGTAGGGAGTATTAACAGAACTTTTTCCACAGCAATAATTTATTTCCTATTAAGTAGATTAAAATAAACAGATCTGGAGCACAAGTCAACTTTGTGGCAGCACAAAAGACAAAGTTGGAAGCAGGGTGGGAGGAAAGGATCACCTTCCCCCTAATGAGGCAGCACAAAGGGCTCCATTATCCATGAGGATTTCGGGTCCATTATCCAGGACAAGGGTTTCACTCCAACTGTTTAATGACTGTCACCCTTGTCCGGTTTGTGCTGCTGATCAGGGAATCCTGTCCCAGCAGGAAGGGTGAGGATGCACCAGGTACCTTGTACAAGGCGACAACGCGCCTTGTGATTCCCACGTTTGAAAAACATGGTGAAAAGTCATAAAATCCCCCCTTTTTCTTGGCTCCCTGTTGATGGTGAGGCTACAGCCTCAGAGAATCACAGAGTATCCCAAGCTCGAAGGGATCAACAAGGATCACCCAAGTCCAGCTCCTGATCCCAGCCCTGTTTTCCTCAGCACACAGCCCC